AGATCTCGTGCGCTGTCCATTCCTCCTTATCAGAGTACAACAGCGTATTGATGTGCATGTTACCACCAGCACTAATAAGAATAACTATCATAGATAATATGTAGAAATTTTAACGTAATCTGTTTCTGATACCAATGGTCTAATTTTTTTGGCTCGCAGACTCTCAAACGTAAGGCCGTGGGTTCGAATCCCGTTAGGACATTTTGTCGTTGGGAAAGACACTTTACATTAATTTTTTTCACTTCACCTGGCCAGGTGGGAATGGGCAAAAAGCTATGAATACCTACCGAAAGCGTAGTGTTTTAGCGAGCGCATGCAATCGGCAGCTTGCATTGTACGCTTTCCGAGATGCCGGAAATGTTTCTGAGTTCTTTAGTTCTAGCGTCTGCTGGGGTAATAGTACAATAAGTACATATAGTTGTAAAAGTGCTTAGAACATTCTGTAGAACGTAAACATGTACTGTCATCATGATCACCTTCACGATCATTATCATCAACACGATCATCATCATCATCATCATCATCATCATCATCATCATCATCATCATCATCATCATCATCATCATCATCATCATCATCATCATCATTATTATCATTATTAACATATATATATATAGATAGATAGATAGATAGATAGATAGATAGATAGATAGATAGATAGATAGATAGATAGATAGATAGATAGATAGATAGATAGATAGATAGATAGATAGATAGATAGATAGATATTATTAACTTTATTATTATCATTATTATTCATACGGCTTGCAGTTGTAGTTTTGTTGGGGGGGGGGGGGTTGCTATAATATATATATATATATATACCTGTAAAATGATTGATAATTAATATGCGTTTTCCCTCTCCCCACCAGCCGGTTGTTCTCGCTGAAGGAAGAGGGCGGGACGTGGACCAACAAGGAGGTGACTCTGTGCGGGTCTACCCTGTGTGACGGAGGGCTCCGCGGCTGTCTCAGGGACTACATCCTTTCTTTCGGAGAGGACGAAGATGGTAGGTGGGCGGTTGGTGGGTGCTCTGGTGTGGTTTGCTTCTCCTTTCCTATCAAACATCTATCATCCTTATTTTCCCTTCTGCTTTTTTTTATGTAGGCTATGTTACTCTCTTGTAACACCTCTAATCTTCCGGCGCTCATATTATGACCTTTCGCAGTTGCGAGCGCTGTAAAACCTCTACTACTAAAACTAAAAACTAACGAAGATGGTAGGAACCCTCAACTTTACATGAATCTGAACTTTAATTCATTAGATCTGTACGTAGCCAATGATTTCTCATAATCAGAATTGTTTGTCTCTACCGCAACATTTTGACAGGCAAAGTAGTTCAACTTTTGTAATATATAGCATAACATAAAGCATATATAGTGGTTTTGTTTGGTGATTGTTGCTGCTGCTGATTCCCTCCCCCCCCCCCCCCCGCCCCCCAAAGGGACCCCAGATGCAGACAGATGTTTCGCTTGATGTCAAGCATTTCGAAATGGGGTGTATGTGAGTATGTGTTGGTTGGGGGGGTGGGGGCAATTTTACGTTTACCTAAACAATTGCTATTGAATGATTGTTCGTCTTGCCTTCCTCAGGAGAAATCTACATACTCACAAGCGAAAGTTCGGGCAGTTCACGATGTGATGGGGCAGTCTATAAGATTGTGGACCCTCATACGTGAGTTCTGTGCCGTTGATACCCCAGACACAATTGCCATACATTGTGTCATTATAATGTTTTGTTTGTTTGTTTTGTTTGTTTGTTTTCGTACAGTGTTTTATGGCGCTCGCAACTGCATAAGGTCATATGAGCGCGCGGGACACACCTAATATTTTCAGTTGGTAGGAAATTTTGAATTTTGCCCGGGTGGCGGCCGAAGCCTACTCTCATCGATTTTAGACCACCTAGGGATCTTTAACGTGCGCAACTTGCACACGGGCCCTCCGAGATTTTTCGCCCTTGTCCGAGAAGGCTAGGTGTAAATCTTTCCTACCAGAAGATCAGGGGTGTGGCAGAAAGACAGCAGTAAGGAGGAGCCAAGGAGTAGCAGTAGAAAGGCTGCAGAAAGGGTCAGGAGCCCAGAGGAGGGGGCAAAGGAGGTGAGGGGGTGGGGGCAGAAAGTGGAAATGAAAGCAGACAACAGAACATTGCTAGAGAGCAGGAAAGGAGGTGAAAGGAGACAATTTTAGAGAAGAATTTTTTTCGGTCGCTACCCGGATTCGAACCCAGGACCTTTTAAATGAGAGGCCAACACCTTAACCTCTAGGCCACGAGAGCCCCCTTATTGTTTAATATATATAAAAAATATATAAAAAACCAATAGGAGTGAAATGGGAAGTGATCGTTTGTACAGGTAATTGCAGGGGCGAAGCGTCTATATAATCAAACAATCACTGCTTCCCTTCCTAATTTTGAAACCTTGTCGCTGTCAAATTCATCCTTAAACGTAAACCTCTTAAATTAAAAGTAAAAAGAGGTTCGTAATCCACAATGAGTATGCCTAACATTCAAAACGGTTTCACGGCCACATAAATAGCCTCCTCACCCCTCTCGGGCCACTCCATAAGCAGTCGCAAGCTTTGATTAAGTAAGCTTAAACTGAGGCTGAAAGAGTCTACTAATACAGTTGAGGGAACATGTGCATAGCAGTCATGGCTGTTTCATTGCCACATATACAATGTTCACCCCTTTGGGGCCACAGTTATAATCAATCCCAAGCCCTGATTAAGTAAGCTAACGAACACTGGTCGAGTCTACCTCACAAATGTGAGGGGAACTAACTCCTAACAATCTCTTTACTGCTGCATGTGCTTGTTTTTTTTCCTCGACTTTTTACTGTCCTATAATCAGATCGTGACCTCGATTATGACACCAGCTCCTGGCCGCGAAAGGCTAACAAAAACAGCCAAATGTGAAATTTAAAAAATGATAATTGTCATGTTCTACCAAAGAGTTAGACTCTCTGGTAGGTCTATAACATATAGATCTCTAGTACTGACACCTCTGCTTCTTTGCTTTGTGTTTATGTATTCACATCTAAAGTTAATTTAATTTTAGTTGGAACTGATATTTAATAAGATACTTTCCCGATTATTTTGGCGGTTGAACATACAATATGAATTCCGGATTTGTTTTCATTTCACAACTCAGAGTCGCCGCCTCGAGTAAGATTCTTCTGTGATATCTACAGGCCATATAGATCTATATCTGGTCCCGTTTCACTTTGATTACCCTGTCAAACAAGTCAGCCTTCGCCCCTGGGTAATTGTCTAATACGGGTGACCGTTAGAGCAGTTTCAATTGTAGACATTATGTACCTGTTGACAAAATCCAGTGATAGTGATTAAACTCTAAAAAGCGAAAACGACAAAAAAATAACAATAACGAATGAATTTTGGAATTAAATGATAATCTTAGCAACAAAACACCAGTTATACTTTGAAACGGATTTTGTTTCCTTTTGCAGTTGATTAAAATAAAGCCACATAGCCATCTATAATAAATAAGGGCGAAATATGTCCGACACAATGTTCACTGTAGCATTAACTTCATCGGTTTCGGTGTGCAGAGTTGTGTACCTGGGCAGTTCGATTTGCCTCAGCGTATTCAGATATTTGGAAGCTTTTCACGTTTGTTTGATTATCATTTTTTAATAGTATAATTGACAATAGAAAAGGCTGTTTGCTATTGCCAGTACGGCAGTCCCTGTCTCCTGCTCAAAAGTACAAAAGAACTCTTTATTTCTTTTATTTTCCAGGAGAAATGATCCGTCTGAGTGTAGCCAGGATCCGACTCAGCGGGGACGAGTACCACTTCCGGCACGAAACAAATTTACTCTTGGTAAGCTGAAAGAATTGCGTTTTCAGTTCTTCAAATTGGGCTGGGTGAGAAACGAGGCTTGCGTAACACAAACTAACAGGGCTAAACGAATAAAATGTATATATTTACTGACCAGTGGCGATAATGAAAATCAAAACAATGCAAAACTGTGTGAAATTAGTTTTTTTTTCAATCAACAAACAAGCAGAAAAAACAAAACAAATAGATACCCCCCCCCCCTCCTTTCCTCTTTCCAACAAAATTTCTATTTAAAAAAAAAAAGAATTACAAAATACAGGTAGGCCCTACATGGATGGCTGGTGCCTCTATAAATAAATCAATCATTGATGGTCTGGTCTGAATACAGGTAGAAGTAGAATCTATACATAAAAGGCTGTTGCCTGTAATGTAAAACCCACCCTGCTAACTGAGGAGCTAAGATGACGAAAAGTTATCTTGGGAATATTGCACAATTATAGTACTAGTCTACCAGTTTATGCAAAATCTGCACTGCAGATACTCCTGCACGCACTGTTCATTTTCGAACACTTCATACGTTTACTACATGTACTACTTTATAGTCACCTGTTTCTTGTTTCTTCATCTGGCTTTCACAATCCATTTCCAGATGTAGACCTAACTTTCTGATTGTAACCTCTGAGATTTATTTTGTGTCGATCTTGCGCTACCCATATTAATTAGGGGGAGTCTCCTGTTCTGGCTCTTCTAATGTACCATCCAGGGCCTAGTATTACATCTTTGTTTGGATTGTTTCTCCATTCTTAGTTCACACCCTATTGCTGTTGGCGTGACTGTGAGGCTTCTTTTCGTCTGTGATCTCGTGCTTGTACAATGTAATCAATCCACTTGTGGGTAAAAAATTGTATTGAATGTTTTTAAGATCTGCATAACATCAAAGATAGTAAATAACAAGATGGGCCACTCAGCCAAAAAAGTGTCCGCAGGAAGTTCGTTCTTTGCTTCAGATGGCGCTGCAGT